CAGGAATTTTTAGGAAAATCTCTCAGGACCCACTGTCATAGGAACAATGTGGAATATTCAGACAGTCACATTAGACAGACTCATAAAGTATTTTGATTGGTTAGGGATTCAGAAAGGCTGTACTTGCAACCTATGCCTAAATAATAATAAGGAGGAGAGGAAGAGAGAGGAGGAGGAGGGGGAGCGAAGGAGAAGGAGGAGGGAGAGAAAGAGGAACAGGAAGAGGAACCAGGGGTGGGGGGTGTTTCTTTAAAGATACCATAGTATTATTAGCAGAACAGTTAAGTAAACCTAAGAGAAGTCTCTAGAGTGGGGAGGGGACTCCTTCAGTGTTAACTGTACACTTTATATTTTTCATTATACAGTCTTAAGAACAAAGCTCTTTCTGTTTTAAACAGAATCACTCCAGGATTCTGTCCTATCAGAAAAGTGACTTGAACTAAAGGATGGATTCAAAGAGTAAACTCTTAAACCATACTCATCTTTGTTTCCTGGATTACAGAAGCATTTGAAAATAAAGAGAGCATGATTTTTTGTTTTTTGGTTGGTTTTTTTGTTGTTGTTTTTGTTTTTTGTTTTTTGTGAGACAGGGTTTCTCCTTTGGAGCCCTTCCTGGAACTCACTCTGTAGCCCAGGCTGGCCTCGAACTCACAGAGATCCGCCTGCCTCTACCTTCCGAGTGCTGGGATTAAAGGTATGTGCTACCACTGCCTGGCTTGAGAACATGATTTGTTTAAACCATAATACAGAGATAGTTTTCATATGCCTTTGATAATTTGATAAATTAAGGAGACACACTTAGATAAGTATTTGTGCATACAAACTCCTTTGTGAGATGCAGAGGCTCATGAAGTTCAGTGAGTGAATGTTTTCAGAGTCCTCTTTGCAAGAAAGCTGTAGTCATTTTCATAGCTAATAAACATGAATGCCACTTAGGTAAATTTATTGACCTCTATTTGTAAATTGTTGAAATTAATTTTTTTCAAAAAAAATCCCTCAAGAATAATGAACATTACTTTCATACTGTGTTCTTATTCAATTCGTTATCATAACCTCAAATCAAAGGCGGATAAACTGTGTTCAATTTCTTGTTATGATACATGGGCCAGCATTCAGTCTCTCTGGAGTTTTTGACTATTACTTACTTTCATAATAAAGAAAGCAGCTTGCTGTCTAATAAGGTTGGCCTGGGAGGTTGCTTGATCAATTTGTTGATCCCCTGGAGAAAAAAAAAAGCACATTTAAAAAACAGATCCCAGAACAAGACAGACGTGAATACTATCCACTTATTCTAAGAGTTGCATTTCTGTACTGTGCAAAAAATTTAGAATTTTTACACAGAAATTTATTCCTTCTACTTTGCCTTCCCTAAATATTATATCAACCAAGAATTAAATATATTTATGACTACAAGAATTATCCAGGGTTTCTCTACCTTTTCTGCAAACAGGATTGTAAATACATATATATTTTAAAAATATACATTACATATTTTTTTAATTTTTATTTTTATTAAAAATGTATATTACAAAAATGTCAAAATACCAAATTTGTAGGTTTTCCTGATGAAATACAAGATACCAAGTTAAATTTGAATTTCAGAAAAGTTGCAAGTATGATTTAGGCTAAGTATGTACCAAACAGTGTATGGAGCATACTTATCCCAAATAATTTACATTCTGTCATTTGACACTCCTGTTTAACTGGGCACTTTGTATATTAATTTTACAACCACAACAACCTTGTACATGATATCATCTCATTCATCTGTAAGTGAACACTTGATTTGTTTTCATAGCACAGTAGTTTTGGAACTGGCCTTTTATTTGCTGTTGGACATATGATTTCTAGCTGAGAGCAACTATTTAAGAATATATACAACCATGTTCTCGTTGAATTTGCAATCAGATCCTTCCTACTTTTTCTTTCTTAACCAGTTTCTGCTAACATGCCTTTCTACTTCTGAGACTTTAGGAAGAAGAGTAGAAAGAGGAAGGGGTTCCTTTCAGACTGATTACAGATCAATCCTTTTAACATTTGAGAAGCTGGTACTCAGAGTTGCATGTTCTCTGCTTTTAAATTAACTGTCATTTTATATGGAATTTAAAAGGCTTTCTTATGAGAAGCAGAAACTTTTCTAAACAAACCGATATGTAGGCATTAAGTCTGTGCGTCTCCAAAAATGAATAATTCATTTTTAAGTAAATGAGAAATTATTTTGTGCGGTTACTTACACATTTGCACATGTATAGTTAATAGTCATCGGCGACACGGGGTATTAGTTGTGAATTGTGGTTTTCAGTATCACACACACATTTGTTACTGTGGTTTTGCAATACCGTTTCCCGATGCTCCGCTCAACTGTGGTTTTCATAATCATTGTTTGGTAACCATGTAGCTGTGACTTGAAGCTGCTAGATCCATTTGGACAGAAATAATTGCTTATAGGTTTTGCTGTCTTTTTAGTTTATAATGGTAAGTTAAACTAGAGAATATAAAATTGAACCTTAAATATAACTCTTAGTCTCATTTAAAAATGATGAGAAAATAGTTATATGAATATTCAGTTTATTTCATTCATATGGACTAGAATTAATATACATATATTTATATATTTATGCATTTAGATTAACAAATATACTATTTGTAATAACATACTCTAGTTATTTTTATCAACCTTGCCTTAAATTTCCTGACTTTTGTTCCTCTCAGTTTTTAAACTGAATGTTTAGCTCAGATTTATTTGTTTCTCTTTTGCTTTGCATATTTAACTATTTCAGATGCCAAAAGAAACACTAACTGCTATGTTATTTTAATTCCAGTGGACATTCCTTTTGGGTGACATAAGTCAGCCAATTCTGTCAAAGATCTATGAAAACTGTACTGTGCAATAAATCCAATTCTAAGATTCTCAGCATGCCAATTTAACTGTAATGAATTGAGAAAGGAGGAGGCAAAAAACTGAAGTCTCTGTTTGCTCATTCACACCACAACGTAAGTACAAATAACCTTGCTTTTCATGGTACTTAAGATCTTAATTTGTTGCATCTTCAGAGCATGGACTTGGTCATTTAGTGCACTTGCCATTGCAAAGGACCATGGACTGTACTGTTATAGCCTCATATGGCCATAGAGCTAATGGTCGTGTAATAAAAGTCACAATTGGTCTCCAGCCTTGTGTTAAGATTTGCTCAGCCATACCTTTTATGAGGTAAAGCTTTACACCTTTCAGAAGATGTCCTGATGGGGTAAAAATGACACTGAGTAGAGTGTGCTTCTTGCACAAGGAGCACCCTGCATTATGCTCAATCAGTCCAGGCTCTGTGCTGACCTCAGACCCTTTTAGAGTATCATTTGGTGGTGCTCATGTGTATGCTAGCCAACCAAACAAAAGGGACACAATTTCAGGTCAGAGTTGATACTTTCATAGCCTCCTGGGGGAAACATTGGCAGTATCCAAGGAATGCATGTTAACTACACAGGAGTTTATTAGTAAATACTAATTGCATAAAGTAGCGGGGTTACGCACAGCCACGTCCCTTATGGCACACCTGAAAGATTTGCATTTAGTACTCAGTGTATAGGAAACTGTGTGAGACTAAACTAACTTCACGCACCTTAACTTGACTAAAATAATGCTATGCAATCATTTCAAAATATGTTCTCTTGTGCCTTGCCATTTCCCGAACCGCAAACAAACAATGAACGAATATGAAAGAAACAGAACCCAATAAACCAAAGAACCAGGAAATAGTTGTTGGATCTTACCTGATTGAAAAATTATGACAATATCAAATCTTTTATTAGCTCCACGGTGCTTCCCTGTGGTGGAACTAAGAGAATGGAAGGTCACAGGGGCAGAGTGGCACTGCAGAACTTCCACAGACTTCACACAAAGTTAGTATTTCGTATTAGAGATTACAGTTCCTTTCCTATCTAGAGCGAATCATCCAGCTAACCATCGTCCTTTTGGATGTGAGAGAAATATCTGCCTGACTCCCGATTCCGGGATTTTACTATTTCAAATGGAAACTCTCAATCAAGCAAAGATGCAGAAGAGCGCTGTGAGCCCAGCTCAGCACCCCATCCTTGTGGGCCTAGAGGGGGATGGTCCGCGCCGGCAGCAGTCTCCCGGGAACTCTGACAGCAATGAAATGGTGTCCTGAGAGCCTGGGCAGATGAGAGGACTTAACGGGCCCCAAGACACACAGTTGGCATTTGTGATCAGCTGGCTTTCGCCGGGGACTTTGCCAGTGGCCTAACCTTCCTGCCAAGAAACTGGAAGGGCGGAGGGCGGGGGCTCCAGGAGGGGAGCGGTAACTGGAAGCACAAAGTTTATGGAAGGAGACTGAGATTTCTTTGTGCCCTGCTAGATGGGCGAGGCATTAGGGAGGAGTGTTAGGGGGTCCGTTGGAAGAGGCTGTTGGAAGAAGTTGCTGGAAGGGGAGCGGGGGAAGGGTGGCCTGGCAGCTGCCCAGCATTGACGCGGTGACAACTGCAGAAGGTGCCCCCCTCCTCCAAACCTCACGTCTCCCTCACCCCCGTCAACCCCTTCAACTCCCACCCACGCCGCGATCCCCTTGCACTCCACGCGACCGAGGCCCGGCCGTGAGTTTGCATCCGGACTGGCTTTGGATGCAGCCAATCCTCCTTGCGCTGATGGCATAGTCTCCCCTCCCCACAGCCCGGGCGCGCCCCTCCTTCGCACGCCTCGCCACCTCCCGCAGCAGTGCGAGCGCGGCGCGGCCCGGAGCGGCGGCGGCGGCGGCGGCGGCGCCCGAGTCTCTGCCCGGCAGCCGGGGACACGGGGAGCAAGCGCGCACCTCCTCCCGCACCCTCCGCCCCTCGCAACCCGGGTCCCTCTGAGCGCTTTCCTTCCCCTCCCTCCTTCTCTTCCTTCTCTTCCCAGCCGCCCCCCCCCCCCCCTTCCCCTTTTCTCTCTGCCTGGTCGATCGCTCCTTGATTCCCATCCTCCCCCCACCAGCCCCATCGCTCTCCCC